TGTGTGTGTTTGTGTGTGTGTGTGTGTGTGCGCGCGTGTTTTATCAGCAGGACAGGCTCACGAAATGAATAGAGGCGGCGACGACAGCGTGAGATTAGATAGCACTAATAAATCATGCAAAGTTGTTGTGGGTTGGAGGGCATTCATTATTTTTTAATGCCGTGCGATCACAACTGTGCTATGACTTGTAATCAATCAATGTGTGTCTAATTTCCTGCTCAGACTTTGACTCTGATAGTTTACATCAGCGCGACAGTATGATCGCTCCCTCTGGCCTTATTTAATTGATGCGTCCTCTTTCGTGATTGGTCATTTTGCAAAGCTGCCGTCCATCAGTGCAATCCTGTCAGCGTCCATTGAGCGACAAGACGTGTGAGAAGTTGACGCTTTTGTTGGCAAGCATGTCCAGCTGCAAGCTGTTGTCCCCTTAGCTCTGCTTTCTTCCCAAGGAGGCTGCTCGGCTTGCTCGGTCGTGCGGCCGTGACACCTCGTCGCGTGCCTGCGTCACACCGCCGCCTGTAGAGCCGCTCGCACGCGGGCTAGATTGATTTGCACCGTGTCATATTGGCCAGCAAGCTGCGCATTAGAGTCATTTTCCAAACCGCATCTTTTATTTTCCCTCGCCAGCCAAAGCTTTCAGGGATGTTACAGCTATGGAATTGACATTGACGTTACAGTGCATATGGAAATTGTGTACATTGTAAAAGATGGCAGACAATCAAAACATGGCGGCACATTCACTTCATTTTGTCTCTTCTCATGAAATCAATCTGTAAGAAAAAGCAAAAACAGAATACCTTATTTCTAGGCTCTTGAAATATTTCCAATACAGTACATGTACATTATGACACTGCACTGTCAGCCAAAATCAGTGCTTATATTAGCTGCTGACCCATGTTGTACCACATAATTGTTCATAGCATCGCTGTCGGGCAGAATCCTTGTACTGTCAAAATAACGTTTTGTGGAAGGAAAAGCAAAAAAAAAAAAAAACCCAAAACATAAGTTATCATTGTCAGGATGCCCGGATGATTCCAGGAAGAATTGGACTCTAAAAACGTAAAGGTTTTGACATAAATATATTCAGAAAAATGGCACAAGGCCGACAAAGTATAAATAATGTTGCTGGTTCAACAAACCAGGAGAAAACGAGAAGAACAAAAAGCGCTTGCAAAAGGCAAGGAGAACCCAAACGGAAATACCGTAGCTTGTCTCAAAAGGACCAAAACACGTCGCGCTACAAGCCGTGAATAAACGTACAAACACAAAAAAAAAAAAAAAAAAAAAAAAAACATTTCAAAGGCTGTGGTCATGCTGAGCCCCCGATGTTTTATTTGTGTGTATTATTACTATACATTTTTCATTTATCAAGAGCTATATGTTGAATTGACTGAATTATGTTGATATAAATTCCCATTCTGGAAGGTAGGCCCTTTTAACCCTTTCATGCACCTTGTAACCTGATGACATGATAAACTGTCCACTGTAGTAACCGCTGTCCCTTAAAAGGTTAAAAATACCAGGAGGACGAAAAGTGCCCCTTAAATGCAGAATGTAGAAGTAGTCTTAACACATTCCGATTCCGTGTTAGACATACGGCAATAAAACTAGCTTATTTCAACAAAGCAATAGTGGCCGAACACACAAAACTATACCACATGAAAAGCGCGGATCTCTCGGAATAACTGCAACTTCCTTTAAATGATATTGATTTTATTTTGATTGCCTCCCCATCCCCTTCCATCCCCCTTACACGCCCTTTGCTTGAATAAAACATGCAATAACAAGATGTTGTGGCCGGGCTGCAGCGGTGGAATCGGGTTCAGCAGAGTTTGAGTAATTTGCTCGCTTCTAAAGAGCTCGTAAAGGGAGTTGGGCTCCGGGGTTGTTTGGGAAGTTGGAAGCTTTGAGTGCTGGGTGTAGTTTTGGCTCGACCAATCTGGCTGGGAACGAGGAGAATCCGGAGGGAGCTTTGTGCTAGTCCTCTGCTATGATTCACACTATATCACTGCTTTGTTATTCAAAGTGGTGAACTCTTCCGATAATCCATTCAGAACCATTATATGGCTATGCACTGGCCCTGACCCAGAAAAAAAAACAAAAAAGTAAACATAAAACATAGGCGTTTTGTCATTTTTGTTCTATTAGTTTCTTCAGATTATGATTGAGAGCAAAAATTCATGTCAAGTTTATTTCTTAGCCCTTGTGAGGACTAATCGTTTCCTATAGGGTTTAAATGTGTTTTAATCGGAAGATCAAACACTTGACTTTCTTTCCAGCAGGCCCCTGAGGCCATTTGTCCCAGCGTTTACTCTCCCCCCGGGACACATTATTTTCTCACTACAGTATTGCACAATTTTCAACAATCCCACACATCACTGTCCGTTTACGGCCTACTCCGCGGATGGCCTGTTTAGAGGACGGAGCCAAGAGGTTGAAAGTGCACAATGGGGACCGGATCAGAAATAGCAAATATGCGACATGTTTTTTGCGTATTCCATTAATAATCGTCATTAAATATAATCAGAGGCACGGATGAACACGTTGTTAGTCAGACAAAGTTATCCGATGTGAGTTATTGGCTAAAAACAGAAACATATATCCCAAATAATGAAGTAGCCCGTTGTTTTTTGTTTGCTTGTTTGTTTTTTAACTCTTCTCCGGTCATTATATTGTTTGTCCACAGTTGACCCGATGACAAAGAAAGATTCGCCCAAAGATAGAGAATAGTTGAAATGTTTTAGACAGCTTGAGTCAATGTCCAGACTTAAAACCTACAGAGCATGCATTTATGCATTTTATACCTTGTAAAGAGGAAGCTATAGGGAGTAATAAGCCCATGTGAAATTATCAAACTCAAACCCAAGTGTTTTCAGTCAACATTAAAAAAATAGTAATTGGCCTCCATCCCAGTACATTTAGAGGCGAGTATACTTGCACAGGCGGCCCGGTGAACAAGTGGTTATCGCGTCAACTTCACAGTGCAGAGGTGATGGGTTTGATCCCCGGCTCTGGCCTCCCTGTGTGGAGTTTGCATGTTCTCCCCGGTCCTGCGTGTTTTTTCTCCGGGTACTCCGGTTTCCTCCCACATTCCAAAAACATGCATGGCAGGCTCATTGAACGCTCTAAATTGTCCCTAGGAGTGAGTGTGAGCGCGGATCGTTATTGGTCTCTGTGTGCCCTGCAATTGGCTGGCAACCGATTCAGCGTGTCCACTGCCTACTGCCTGAAGACGGCAGGGATAGGCTCCAGCACCCCCCCCCCAACCCTTGTGAGGATAAGCGGATCGGAAAATGAATGAATGAATATACTTGCACAATGTTGAGACAAGAACCCTCATTCAAGCTTGCGCTAACTTTTCGAAGCACTCCATTCTAACATCTCTTTTTCAAGGTCAAAGTTTCAAATGTTAATTAGACGACCTGTCATTTTTCTCCGTTTTAGTTTAAAGCTCCCATGCCATCAAAATCCATTTTTTTCTACTGTTTCATACATAGCCTAGTTAAAAATGAGTATGTGTCTTGGTTGAAGTTTGAGCCATTCGTCCACTGTATTGAATAACTTTTGAAAGGCAAACGCTACGGAAAACATTTGGATTTTTAATTCGATGTTGGTGTGATGTCGCGATAGCCACTTGTCGAGAATATACACGTCATCGAGTAAAAAGTCAACCGGAGCTCAAAAAAAAAAAATGCTTGCACTCTGGCGCTAGGAACGTGTTTTGATACCTCCTGCTACCAATCCCGAGCCAGCACGAACAAAGAGGAGGTTGCTGAGCGAAGAAGCTTGCCTTTCTAATAAGTGCTCTTTTCCAAAAGTCGGGTTTGACCTTACTGTGAACCAACCTAGCAATAGCGTTCGCCCCAAATTATAAACACACGTACTCCTGATGGATGGCAATATATATGAATGGCACGGGACCTGCAACAATTCATTTTGGCCATTGTTTACTTGAGCGCCGATCTGCGCGCCGACACGAGAGAGCAAAAGCTGTGAGTGCACACAAACAAGGCTTCAGAAGTGACTGCTGATTTGTTTTGACGAGCCCTGGCTCTCGTGCGCACCGACAGGCCCCCGTCCGGGCATTGGTCCACCGCGCGCCTGCTGACGCACTCTTCCACAGCCATCGCTCTTCCGTGTCACAACAGAATGTTCGCGCGTCACCTCGTGTTTGACTTGGCTGTTAGCTGATCATAAAAAGTGTTTATTGATACTTGTTCGTGGTTTAAACGTGACATGTCAACAAAACCAAATATGCACCCTTGTGCATTCATCATTTTGCTGCAATAGAATGCTGGCACAGGCCACCAGGTTAGTCGGATGATTGCGAGCTCTTGAGGGCTAACATTATTCAAAGTCGCCGCTGTTAATTTAACACAAATGTTTGCCGAACAGTTTGAAAATGCATCATAATTCATGTTGTTATGAACGACACGAGGGCCTGGCCTTTTTCTCCCAGCAACCTCCATGATTGACTGTGTATGCAGCTTGTGGACAGCATAGTTGACCTTCATGACTCTTTTGGACTCTGGTCATAATTTAACAGTTTTGAAACGTATTTTCCCGTCCAATCCTTCATCGTATCAATCCAAATATTTGGCATTGAGAGTGTTTGTTTTTTCAGAAAACAGCAGAGTCAGATGTGGCTCATATCACCTGTTAAGAAAAGTGAAACACAAACAATAAGCTGTGAAAATGTCAAGGGAAAGTGAAATAATTGTTTTGTTCTGGCAGAAAAAAAATTGAAAATGAAAAATAGAAACATTTTGATCCGTATTTCAAATGTTTCCTTAATTCTTAAAGCATTTAAACAAGAGTTTACTTATAAAGCAATACAAGAACATCCCAATTATGTTAACATTTTTAGATGATGCGGGCATATCTGACTAGCAGCCTGAGTAAAAAAAAAAACAAAATAGATCGAATAATAATAATCATAACAATTACAAAAAAAAATTAAAACTTAAGCTACATGCTATTATGCTGTTTTGTGTGTACATATATATGTGTGTGTGTGTGTGTGTGTGTGTGTGTGTGTGTATACTTTTTGCGATTACTAATCATGCAGCAAGCCAGATATTAACATTTTTTGAAGTACTGTACCAAAGAAGCAAACCTAACATAAATCCTTGAAACCCAAATAAAAGTCTGAAGGCCAATTAATATTTAGCCACAGTTCTGCTCACGCTGTTGTGGTGCTATGTGTGTATTATGCTTGCAAATTCAGATTATATATGTTGATTTTTCTCGCCACTGTGTCCCAAAACTCAGAATCTCCATCATAAACTTTCATGGCACTGTGCAGCAATAAAAATCAAAGCCAACACCGCTTTTATATGCGCCAAAGTCCAGTTTGAGAGTTAATCAGAGCAATGCAATGTATGTCTTTTTTTCTGTGAGAAAAAGCTTGCTATGAATAAGTAAGCACCTCTACTGAGTACAGACCACCGCCAAGGCCACATGATCCGACTTTGGAACAGTTGACTCATACAACATTTCATTATATCAGTACGTTGTAAATAGTTTGCATCTTTATGACTTCTAAAAACAAAACAAAAAAAAAAGCAACACAGACTCCACAGACTTGTAGAGTCCATCCTTTAAATCATTTTGAGTTTACAAAATTTGCTGACATGTCACCTAATAATGGAATTTGTGCAATCTCACTTTTGTTAAGAACCTTGAGGCATATATTTCATTGCGGCGGCGCGGTGGTCAACTGTTTAGCACGTCCGCCACACACTGCAGCGATCCAGGGTTCATTCTCCAGGTACTCCACAGTTTACTCCCACATCCCAAAAAGCATGCATGGTAGAACGCGCCAAATTGTCCCTCGGTGTGAGTGTGAATGGTTTGTTTGTCTCTGTGTGCCCTGCAATTGGCTGGCAACCAGTTTAGGGTGTACCCCGCCTTCTCCCCGAAGACAGCTGGGATGGGTTCCAGATAATGGAAGGATGGATTTTTCATTTGGGTTGAAGTGCAAATTGCACCACTTAATGGGAAGGTTCCACTGTATTTATTTGCAGATGATCCAGATGGCCCATGCGTGCAAGACCGTGTGAGGATACGAGACCCACTAGGGGTCATCGTTTTCTTTTTTCCAACCAGATGTTAAGCAGCAGTCACGTTCCCCTTTCGAAATTGTCAAATCGGCTTGGAAATAGCCCAAGAGACACTTGTTTGCATTAAGTGTGGACAGCAGTGAGCTGAACAGTAAAAAGTTGATGCAAATCGGTTATTTGTGGAGAAAGAATAACCTCATAGATGAACACATAGCTGTTTTTGTACCGGACAACCCAAAAGTGGCAACGACTGCAGACTAGTAGGGAACATTCATATATACGCCGACCTATCAGATAGGAGGAAGGAAAATAACATGTGAAATGTTCCCACATGTTGGGGCTGAATGGAGAGTACTCACACACACTCACATGAGTTGTGTTCAAGCCAGCCCCAGGATATTTAAGCCAGCATAAACATAACCTTTCTCTCTCTCTCTCTCTCTCTCTCTCTCTCTCTCTCTCTCTCTCTCTCTCTCTCCTCCCTAGCTGTCTAGCAGCTGGTGTTAAAGGGAATGTGACTTTGGGGGCGAGAAAAAATCTGATAACATTGTCTGTGCAAAACGAGAAGTTGGTGAGTCTGGTGGATCTATTCACCGACAGCCAAGACCGGCCTGAGCTCACTTGCGCAGACACTCAGGAAGATGTGAAAGTTACCAGCTAGCACGGGAGGGAGAAAGCCATGTTGTTTGGCTTGGACGTTGCTAATGAGCCCATTCATTAAGCATCGTTGCACAGATGTGCTGAACACGCTTAAGCCTGATTTTGTTTGGGCTGAAATCTACAAGCAAGTCGACCCAGACTACTGTCAAGTGCTACCTGTGAATATAAGGTCTAGAAGTAAACCTGTGATGCATGTTAGACCAAACCTCGTATGCCACGATTTGGTAAAGTTATGATTTTTTTTTTTTCACCATTCTGTGCTATTGGTCAATCCACGTGTGGGTGCTATTTGTACAAATTTAAGACCCAATCTCAAGTGTTGAAAATGCCTCGCGCTCTTTTGACGATGAAATGCTAATAGTTGAACAAACATGGAGTTTTTGGGGTCTCCTGAAAAGTGACCACGTTGGATTCTGCCCACCGACAGCGATATGCAAACATTTATTCTTATTCACCGGGTGGCTAACTCAACTTTAAAACACTGAACAAAGCTTACCTATTGCGGGGCATTAGAAATGTAAACCTAAAGATGCTAATGTGAGCTATAGTTGACACTATGGGGCAAATTTGAAATCTGTTTAAAGATTGCTAATATAGCTTGTTACACTGGCATTTTCTCTCTCTCTCTCTCTCTCTCTCTCTCTCTCTCTCTCTCTCTCTCTCTCTCTCTCTCTCTCTCTCTCTCTCTCTTTCTCTCGCTCTCTCTGTCTCTCAATTTTATGGAACAAATATTTGAAAATAAAGGTTGTACATATCGATTAGTTTGTTTCTCCACCGCAATTATGTTCATTTCTCCATTGCAGTCATCAGGCACCAGTGTCATGGTGGACATCGCAGTGATGGGAGAAGCGCATGGACTGATCACAGACCTGCTGGCTGACCCCTCTCTGCCCTCCAACACCTGCACCTCACTCCGGGCTGTCAGCAGCCTGCTCACCACCCAGCTCACCTTCCAGCCCTTGCACCGGCCACGCCCCGCTCCCCTGCTTAACCCCTGCGATGCCTACGTCTACTCTGACTCCGAGGAGGGACCCGAGAAGGGAGAGAAGACGTCCATCCATAAGGTCAGGAAATTCATGGAGGCAACATGTGGTGCAAATCACGATTTGAGAATTGGGCCCAAACATTCAAATGTATAGTTGTCTTTGGGAAGTATGTGAAATTACCCTTAGATGGAACTGCGGTCCACCGTATTACGGCCCAAATGATTTAAAGGGCACAAATCGTTCTACGCACATGTTAATCTTTGAGCCCGTCTGCCCGCTAATGGCTGCTGCTGCCTCTCAGACCTTTTAGCATCAAATGAAGGAAGTGTGTTTTCATAGAGTTGAGTGAAGAAAAATAGAGCATGTCTACTGCTTGGAGCTTGCTTCTCCCTTTCATAGCCACAGCTGTGTCAACATGACAGATGTGCAGAAGTCCGATGTGTGTCTGCGTGTGCGCGCAGCAGAAGAAAGAGGGGCAACACGGTGGCGAATGCGTCTGTCAAAATGGTTGCAAAGACACGCGAGCGTGTGTTAAAAAATTGGATGTCAAACACAATTGATACCTTTTTAGTGTGTTTTTGAAGGCAACGCCCATCCTGGCTATCCGTAGATGAAACTAATCACATTGTCTGGACTCGTAGGAGTGACCCCTGAGTCTGCACTTTTTCAGACTCCTCAGGACGACGATGTCCAACTCTGTCTGTGTAAGAGGAGAACTGCTGAAGGGAAGTTAGTGAGCGATGAAATTTATCCTCCAAAAAGTCAGCTGTCACTTGCTTTTGTGCTTTTGGCTAAGAGCAGGATGTTGGCTCTTCAAACTTTGCTTTTTTGTTCAACAGAGACCAACAGAAAACTTTGTTTTTTTTTTTCAACAGAGACAAACAGAATCTCTGCTCTGACATTTTGGTTTCAAACATCGCATCCATCTCCATCCATCCATTTTCTACACCGCTTATGCTGTTTTGGTTTCTGGGGAGGGGGAGAATATTCCCATCTGATTTAAAATGGAAGGTAGACTATGCATTGGGTGCATTTGAAGACAACAATTCACTCACATTTGCATCGTAACTGAGTAAGAAATTATTATTATTTGCTGCAGGGAAGTCAGGTGAGCCACACCAGCCTAGAGCATTAAGCAGACAATCACTTTTTGGGCTCCTAGTTTTCATGCTCAATGCAAGTCTAGTGCAAATCGCGGTCCAACTGTGCGCCTGGAATGAGTTTTCTTTCTTTCTTTTCATCCCTGTTTGCAGTCATTTAGCTTAGCATCGAGCTAATCAGGTTATTAAAGTTTCTTTTTGTTGCATTAAAAGAAAAGTAAAGAAACAGGCGATTGCACCGTTGTGGGTGTGGACACAGCCAACTTGCTTCCTGGTCAATAAAAGGGTTTCCTCTCATTCCCTTGAAATTGAGGTCAAAAGAGGTCTACGTGGCGGAAGCATAAACAGACATAATTGGAGTTCATACACCAAGTACATTTATAAGGAACTGCAAGGAGATCTCCACGTGTATATGATGTAAGGTTGGCTGCTGTAAAGTGAGCACTTTAAGACCATCTTCCACCCCCGATTGTACGATTGTGTGTGACCTCCTTTCGGCTAAAGTATAGTCTACTTTCAGCCACCAACTTCTCAGGTGGGCGAAGGGCATGTAAAAGAAATCGCAAGGTATGGTCTGCCAAATTCCTAAACAGGCTAAAGAAGGCTTGCACCTGCACTAAAAACAAGATGGGCCACTTTTTACACGTGAAGTGCCTGACACAATATAAGCTGCGCGCAAATTAACTTTGTGCGCGAGTATTCAAAGCCTGTTTTAAGTTCAGGGGAGTTTTCATTCCTACGGTGGCAACGTAACTTACATTATTACGGAATTCAGAATTGCACCATAGTCTATCCTTAAGCTAAGCTAACACCGCAGTAAAGTCAATATTACAGTCAATGTTTGCATGATAAACACTATCATGCTAGGTCATAAATATGAAGTAAATATATTAAATTATACAATAAATTAAAAAGTATGAAATTGGAAGGCCTTCTTGTGCGGTGTTGTGTTTACCCAATTGACACGACCATCGACTAGCTTGAGATGAATGAGATCAGTGAAATGACGTAAGAGAATATCTGAACAGCATAGTTCTACACTTCTTCAAACTACCGTACAAACACAATAGTAAACATTTTAGTTCAATACCTCTGACAGTTCTTCAACACCGTGGCTGATTTGTTGTATTGCTTATATCGTGTGGATGACAATGTAGGGGTTGTGTGTATAAAAATCGAAATGCTAACATGAAAGTGAAGTTGAGAAAAAGCAGCAGCATGTGTGAGGGAACGTGTGTTTGTGCGAGCCGCCTATGCTTTGAATGGGCTCATTCAAGATTCTGAGCCAATATTTATTGGGTCATCATGCAGAAGACTGCGTGAGCGAGGGAGAGACGTTGCCATCTTTTGTGCCTCTTTGCCAAGCTGCTGCATGGCATGGAGCAGATGGAAGCATTACACATGGGCAAACAGTACTGGGATTCCCAGGGGAGATGCAGCGGGACGAGAGAGTGCGAGAAGCAGATAGCGTGGTAAAGATGACATGATGTTTGGAAAAGAGAAAACGTCGAGATGATCCGGGAATAAGCTTTACCTCTTCAAGATGGGAGTTATTTTCAAACAAAACAATTCCTGACCCTTGTTGGTTTGATTTCTTCATGACATTTTCTTTTTGCGCCTTCATCTTCCTCTCTGCGTGCAGCGTCTGAGGCGGAGTCTCCACCCGGGTCTCCTGAGGAGGATCTCCTCCACGTGGACCACCACCACCTCCGCCACAGGCCTGCCCACAATCGAGCCAGGACCCGTGCGAAGGGACCGCAGCACCAGCATCAAACCCTACCACGAAACACTCACGTGCAGGTAATCGACCGCCGCACGTCTCCACGTATCCGCAGAGGCCACCTTTTAGTCATCCGGAGCCATTTTTTTGGCTCGCTCTATTTCCAGGATCACATGCTTCATTAGATCATACTTTGCCAGACAGTGATGCTAAACTGCAAAGCAAGACCCCTCGTAATTGCTTTTGCATTATGACACGCTATGCCGAGGTTATTAGTTTTATTCCCAGCGGTGCGGCTGTAGTTTTACCGAACGCATCAGCGTGACTGCGCAGGCATTGCCGCAGTAGTTCACAAAAAAAGAGGCGTGCGTGCAACCAGAGCCCGGAATGGAAAGAAGGCCCACAGGCAAAGGCATTAACCTGAATAACTAAGACACGCATAAACTCCCAGCGCATTAGTGCAAAAGATAGCACGAGAGCCTGGTCCATGAATGGGCCTCAAGCGCCTGTCATGTCTATAATGTGTGGTTTGGTGCGGTGTGGTGGGTTTGTAGAAGCTGAAGGTTTGGAAGCAAGTTGAGATGCATTCATGTGACGGGATTAATCCATGTGGTTTGGGTTGCACTTCAAACGTTAAAGTTGACTACTGCGTTTTGTTCGGAAAGAATTGCAAAAACAAGTCAGGACAGCTGGCGTGCCACTTTTTTTACAAGTAACGGCCACAAATGCATTTTTTTTTTTTTTTACGGCATACTTTATTGTGATCGGTGCAGAAATGGTATTCTTTGCAGGTTTGGGGTAGACTACACGATTATGTTTGGATGAATCCAGGACAGCTGAGCGTGTTTTTGAATCAGTGCTGCCGAGTCAAGATTCATTTCCAAAGATCGCAGCTTTGTGTGTGTGTGTGTGTGTGTGTGTGTTGTGACAAGGTCTGTGTGTGTGTGTGTGTGTGTGTGTGTGTGTGTGTGTGTGTGTGTGTGTGTGTGAGTGCTTAAATATGATCTACAGGACATACTGTGGGGCTTACAATATTATTCTTTCAATGTGCAAACAATACTCAAGCAGCCATAGATCACTCCCTCGTGTTTGTGTCTTGCAATTGGTTCAAGCCTTGGTGAGCGTGACTTGTGAGACTTTCCTTGAGCATTATTTACTGTTGGTAGCCTCCACCATCATCATTGTGTCACTTTTGATTTCCACCATCAACTCCCAATATTCACCAGATGAAAATATTTTTGTATTCCATCCATCAAAATGTGTTCACGATTGAACCTCTGAAGTCAAATGTAAGTCATAAAACTTTCAAATCTGACCCATTTTGGGGAGTTCCAACCTGTCATGCATGCTGTCACACGTCATGTCACTTGAGCAAGCATCAAAAAATAAGTGCTAAATGGGTTTTTTTTTAGTTCAACCACAATTCTATGTCATATTGCCTGACATGTCACCATATCTCGCTATAAGATCTCAATTCACGAAGCATCCATGAATTTAGTCAGTGTATGTTTTTTTTTTTTGCTTTCTTTCTGGCTTTTTGTGTTTTGTTTTTTCTTTTTTTTTTGAAAGACTTATTCCGAAAAAAGAAGCAACTTCAGCAAACATTTTGCTTTTTACACACAAATTGGAGGAGGGAGTTTGGTTTCTTTTCTCTTGTGTTTCTGTGGTGATTAGTCACTGGTAACCAATCCAGGCCATATCTCGCTTCATGCCCTACTCAAAAACGACTAGCTATACAGTACAGTGGTACCTCTACTTACGAACGTATCTTCATACGAAATTTTCAAGTTACGAAACGGCTCAACATGAAAATATTACCTCTTTTTACGAAATAAATTTCAAGATATGAAAGGTAAAAATGCAGTTCGGGCTGCTAATCGCAGCTCCGAGTTTCCTGAACACAACATACTTAGAGCTGGCGGTAAAAATGCAGTTCGGGCTGCTAATCGCAGCCCCGAGTTTCCTGAACACAACATACTTAGAGCTGGTCTGCCATTGGGTATTTCCTATATCTTTTTGGGCCTCACTTTG